TTAGCTCCACTGTCTCAATTGTTTATATCTGTTTGAAACCTTTATCCACTCACCCAAAATATTCACTGCAACTTCAGATCACCTAACATTTTGGTATCACGTACTCTTTATCCTCGCCTACATTATGAATATAAAGACTCAAATAGGGACCCAGTGCACGGAATCTCTGTGTGAAGCACTGTATGGAAGGACCCCGGAGAAGTCATTCAGATGGGGGTGAGGTATCTGAGTTTTACGCAGCTCATACTTCTCGATCTTGTCTGGGAACTTTGGGGTGTGACGTGGCCTGATGCAGATCCCGCCCAATGTCTTCGCCAAGCTCCCTACACCACATCTGTTATACTTACCTCTATTTAGGGTTTGCAACTTAAAATTTCTTAAAAAGAAATCATGCAACCTGGACAAGAAGTTCTCTGTGAACTAGTATCTGCATTTAGGCTCACTCCTTTCCTGTCCACGTCCTTAATGAATTGTCTTGTTTCATAACCTGTTTAAGAATGCGTTATGGAAATGATGTCAGACTCTCTCACCTCCAGGCCGCTCTTGAAAGCCTAGAAAATGTTTGCCTATCTCAGTTTTCCACTTCCTGTCCCATTTATTACCCATGATTCTCCAAAGATTCTAAATAGTAATTCAGTACCTTCTCTATATTCCCTAGAATGTAATCCATCCAGGCCAAAATGCTTGAATCATGGAGCTCAGGCCTGTGTTTGCAGAGAGAATCTGAAAAAATGGGATTAGGACTAGTTTTCCTCTATGGTTACTGGAAAGTTAGAGGTCTTTCCTAACCTTCTGTAACTTCCTTTGTAGATTTAGGCAAATCAATCATCCATTGATTTTCCTAAGCAGAGTGGTATAACTGTACAACACACACATGTGTTTTAGAGTCAGAAAGACCAAAAATAAGAAAAGAAGCTTCATCATCTAGTGGCTGCACCCATGGACAAGACAATTAGCCCCTGTGTCTCAGTATCTTCAGTTTCAAGATAAGGAGAACAATAATACTGTCTTTCCAGACAGCTTTAAGATGTCCGAAAAGGCTCTTAGAAATGGTGTGTGCTTCCTCAGCTGCCACTAGGCTTTCCTTCACGCCGTAGGAGTAATTTTTGGCATGTAATTCCTGATGTGAAAGGGTCCAGAATCACGTCAGGAATCAAATGGCAGGAAGAATTAAAATAATCAGCACAGCGATGCAAGACTTCCCCAGAGGAACTGCTGAAAACGTCTTATCCATAGATCTTACTTTCCTTATACATTTGATGTGAAGTTCATGATGAATGCCTAAGAGGAAGGTCAGCCCCTTGCGTCACTGGAATGCTCTGTAGAAAATAAAGCAAAAACAACAACAAACAAACAAAACGCGAGCAACATAGACTACCTAGAGTGGAATTTAGCAATGGCGGAAGGAGACTACCAGGATGAGACCTTGCTGAGAGCTCTCAGATACGGCCAGAAACCACATCTCTACAGAGCTGGTGAACTGCATATAGTTCCTGGGTCAGCGGGCAAATCCTGCTGTACCCGGTTCTTATTTTATCTGGGGCGATCACCTCAGCTTTCATTCCCAAAACCCTGATCCGCCCATACCTGAAGGCATCCTAAGGAATGTCTATGATGGAAATGTTCAAAGCTTTCTTCGCTTTTAAGCCTATTTCAGTTTCTAGACACACACAAAAAAGCTGAAATGTATATTTGCTCCTACTCGGGTGCCCAGAGCTTCAACGACCCTACTTCTTGATGAGCCCACATCAGGCTGGATCAGCTCAAGTATGAGATACAGGAAGGAAGGTGAGTCCTCACAGAAATCAGCTTTTCAGCCATTGACTAGGGTGGACGCTTAGCTCTTAAACTTTTCTACGGGTCTATGGTTGTTGAAGTATATTTAGGTTTCAGGGGGAAGAAAACACAGCACTTTTTTTTTTTAAGCTTTCTGAAATAGGATTTGCCTCTCATGGGGAATTATTTTTTCTTCAGCAAATTTGACCTTTTTCTCTAATTTCCCTTCACACTCTTTTCTAGGCTTCGAGATAAAAATCCTTCTGTTTGAAAAACTAGAAAGCATAGAAGGCTCAGGTCCATCGTCACCCATTCTCAAGGGGAAACCGCTTTCTTCTCAAGAAAAATCACCTTAGCAAGTGAAAATGAAAACTAAGAGAGGATCCCTTGAGATCTCCTGGACTGGGGGAACCCTGCCTTTTACAAGGCCCACTGTCTGGTTCTGGGGCACAGTTGTGACTTAAATGCTCAATGGGAGAGAAGGCGTCAGGAGAAAAGCGTTCCTCACTGACCTGCTTTGATGGTTACCTTCCACTCAAGGCGACTCAGGAGCACCTACCCACCCAAGAGCAGGTGCTCCTGTGTGTGAACTGTGAGCACCTGTCTGCTTCTAGTCCCCAGGGAGCCCTCCACCTTTCACCGAGCAGTTGTCAGTCTTCCCTAACAAGGATCAGAGCATGCTGTCCTACCCCTAACTGGTGAGGACAGAGTAGCCCGGGTCTGAGAACCAGAGTAACGGGGTGTCTGACTGCTTTGGCATTTGTTCAGTGTTTGCACATCATAATAACATTTACTTTAAGCCTGTAAAGGTGCCAAGTGATAGCTCCTGGGCTGACATTGATCAAATCCTATCACAAAGCCAGCGAATCATTAATATATATGTTTCACTGCTCATCCCAGATGTGAACGGTGTCACTCTGGAACAGAGCATGTTTCCTAACGGGATCCAGCCCCACTCTGACTCCAGCCCTGGGAATCAGCGTTTTTAAGAAGCTTCCCGAAGCACACCAGAATTGTCGTTCCAGATAAACAAACTCAGACACTTCAGTTTCGTAATTCAGAAGGAACGGTCTGCCCTCTTTTTGCCAAATATATACATTTTTTAAAAACCAGGAGAGGGCCAGGATGGTTTCAGTTGAACTTGCTTCCTGTACCCCCAATCGAGCATCACTTAGAGCAGGAGTTAGAGAGGATCTTGAAGTTCCTTTGGTTCATTTCCACCTACAGCAGAAGTGCTGGGCCATAGCACCTGTTCTTCCAAGCTCTGCTTAAACGCCTCCAAAGGCAGGTCATTTACATCCCCCAGTAGGGGCAGTTTTCCCCCTACCACGAGAACCCATGACCAGGATGGCCTTTCCTCCCGGTTGGCCTGGGGTGCCCCTGACAGACAGGTGACAGTGGCATTTTACAACTCATGTATTTGAAACTCAAGAAGCCCCCCTTTACCTCAAATGTCCCGGTTTGGAAGATAATACACCAGACGACCTTATAATTTACATACAGCACAGGATCAACGTGAATTCCCTTATCCTGCAACACAAAGATGTTCACAGTCTCATCTCACCCTACCTCTCCGGTCTCATTCAGACCTTTCTGCCATGCCCGCCCCCCTCAACCCGTCCTGCACAGAAATGCTCTCCCTTCCCCACTGCACACACAAGGCAACTGAGGCACAGGCAGCAACTTGCCTAGAGTTTTACAGCTGATAAGAAGTAGACAGTTTTCTTATCCATCCATATATACCCAGTTCCAACGATTTCTCCCAAGACACGCAGAGGCCAGAGCCTCTCTTTGCTAATTGCTCCTCTCTAACAAATTCGTATTTGCTCTGTCTAATAAAAGGTACACCAGCAAGCACAAGTCTCCACCGAAGGAGGGGTTTCATCCTCGATCAATACCGGGCGGTTCCATTAATGCAGCTTTTCAGTTGCCTCATCTGATTTAGCAGCTTATATGGAGCTTTTAGTCAAACAAAACCTAAATGTCTTTTCTCTACCAGAACTACAACCAGGAGATTTTTTTTCCTCCCATCATTATCATTGATTTTTTTTTTTAACTTCCAAATAAGATTTTACATTTATCTCTTTGAAATGTCATCTCATTATTTTTAACCCAGCATTCCAGCATATCCAGATCGTTTTGGGATCTATTTTTGTTATTGATTACATTGGCCATTCTTTCGAACTGGATGTCTGCTGCAAGTTTAAGAAACACGCTTCTAGTGTCTTCTTCCAACCTGCTGACAAGTGACTGCTCAGGGCGAGCCCCGGAACTAGGAACCTCAAGATCATTTTACTTATGACATCCGTCCTGTGTGTGCTGTCAGTCTCCCAAGGAGCATTCCTGCAGAAAGTGCTTTCTCATGGACGTTTACAGCCATCCCACCCCAGCTCTCTGCCATGACATGTGAACACGGGCATCTTCCTAGAAATGACGGGGCTGAATCACACCATTGAATAATTCACTTCTTTCCCAAGAAGGCCCTGAAGCCCCAAAGCAGTCCGGCCTTCCAACCAGCAAAGAGGAGAAAAATTCTTTATTGGGAGTTTTGTCCTCAAGGCCTTATCCATGTTTCCAAAAGAAGGTACACTTATACCTTAAGCCGATAGCTGATACTTATACCTCGGTAGATACAGAAAGGTTTTCAGAGTACATCCTTGAGAGGAGAAGGCCGAGAGAGGCCTGTTGCACAAGTTTCCCTGAATGTTGGATGTAGTTCCTGGGTCCCTTTCTTTTACAGATGAAGATCTTTAGAGAAAAGAGCTAAGAGATCATACAGCACTTAGAATCCTGGGAGCAAAGAATGAAAGATACACATCAAGAAAACTCAACCAGGAAGGTGTAAGGGCCTATTTAGCAACAGCGGCTCCACCTAGATTGAGCAGCCATTTTGTTGTTTATGCAGTAAAACTTAAACTGACCCTGCCCACCCCCCCAAGGGAACTCACTTAAAAAGCAAGTCCGGGAAACCAGTAAAATATGGTCGACCAGTCCCTGATAACAGAGCCCAAATACAAGGGTGCCGTCAGGTCAGGTGGAGATAACGGCCCGAATGCAGGGATGAGTAGGGCCAGGTGGAGTCATCCAACCAGTGGGGCATGCATACTGTCTCCCTAGCTACCAAGGAGTGTGGGCCCCGTCTTTTGGGCGCCTTTTGGGTGCCAATTCTGACCAAGGTGATAGGCTAGTTCAAATAGCTACTATGGGGTGAACTGTAATTCAATTGGCTGAAAACCTCTGTTATTAAGGGGATTAAGAACCAGTTGATAGAGCAGTTTCCGGGCATCGAGCCGGGGCTCAACCAGATCCTGCCCAAGAAAGACCCGGTGAAGATCATGCGCTGCCACGAGCACATCGAGATCCTGACGGTCAATGGGGAGCTGCTGTTCTTCAGGCAGCGCGAAGGGCCTTTCTACCCGACGCTGCGGCTGCTGCATAAGTTCCCCTTCATCCTGCCGCACCAGCAGGTGGACAAGGGCGCCATCAAGTTTGTGCTCAGCGGGGCCAACATCATGTGCCCCGGCCTGACGTCCCCGGGCGCGCAGCTGTACCCCGCCGCAGCTACTATGGGGTGAATTGTAATTCAATTGGCCACCTGTGTGTGACCTAGCATGACTGTGCAGCTTTCTCTGTGTGTTTCAATCTCATTGGCCACCTGTGTGTGGCCAGGCCCAACCACATGGCCTTTGCTCTATAAAAGTTAGTTTGTAAGGCAGGGAGGGGTCGCCCTCTCTGTAAAAGGCGGCCCCGAACAGTCGGTTTGATTCTCGATACTTGGCGCGAAATAAAAGCTTTGCTTGACCTTCTCTTTGTATCAGTCTCACTCCTTTGATTACAGACCTAACAAAGGAAGAAAAGTGAACCCACCCCGTTGTTCTGAAATAATGACTGTGGGGTTCTCCAAACTAACAGGAAAATAAAACAAATTCCAAAATCACATATTTTTTTTTCAATCATGATGTAATCAGGCTTTCATTAAGCATGGCCTATTAACATGGTATTCATCTCTGCTCCCTTCCCAAGCTACAATGTAAGGAAAAGTAAAATGAATTAAAAAAGGAAAACTCCACAAGGGCAAAAAGGAAAAGAAAGGTGATAACAGTAAGAAAGACATTCAACAGTCTTCCAGAAGATGGAAATTGAATAAACCAAGGCATCACTTACCTATTAGAACAAAGAAAGCTAAAACTCTCCAAGAGCAAAGTCAAAGAAAGACAAGCCAGTTACTACTGTGGGTCTTTGAGGGACTGCAGAATTGGAAGCAATACCACGAACTCCCTACAAGGTGCAGAGAAACTTCCTGAACCCCTCCTGCTCCCTACGCAGCATGTGACCAGGCCTTCCCCAGCAGAGCAGGAAAGGAGGGATTTTCTTTGTAAGAAATTGAAAAGGCAGGGGTGCCTGTGTGGCTCACTGGGTTAAAGCCTCTGCCTTCGGCTCAGGTCATGATTCCAGGGTCCTGGGATCGAACCCCACTTTGGGCTCTCTGCTCAGCAGGGAGCCTGCTTCCCTTCCTCTCTCTCTGCCTGCCTCTCTGCCTACTTGTGATCTCTGTCTGTCAAATAAATAAGTCAAGTCTTAAAAAAAAAAAAAATTGAAAAGGCAGTCCTCAGGAACTAGGGACACAAGTGGGGAGGCTCACATGGTGGCGGGGGGTGCGCAGTGGTAAATGTGAGCCGGAAAGGGAGAAATGAGTGAAAGTCAATGCGGATTATGAGTTTTTTCTGTCCCCTGCCCCAAACTTGGCTCCCACAACCCCTGCAGCAGCCATGTGTTCCCAGGAACAAGTCTGGAAGATTCTATTCTGGAGAATCTGACCTGCCCATGGGAAAAGCTCCCAGATGATAACTGGGGATCCTCCAATGGAACAGATTTGAGTCCTAGGTCACTCGGCAATGAGGTGCACTGGCTGAGAAGCCCAGGCCACCCTCAGAATGTATAGTTTCAGCTCCTTAAAGCCTCACTTGTCTGTGTGAACTGATGGCCACAGATCTCCCGACACTGGAGGAGAACCACCCATACAGAGGACAGGACCAAAATACGAAGTCAGGAAAAAGGAAAATAAAAATAAAGGGACATGCCAAAAAGAAATATCAGCGAATGAAAAGTCAACAGAGACTCAAAGAAACGATAAAGTTGAGGCAATCTTCCAGAATGTTGGCCAAAAGAAAATGAAGTAGTAAAGATCAGAAATTCAGAGGTTTAATTCAGGACACACAACTTCCAGCTAACTGGGAGTTCCAAAAGAAAACAAAGGCAGCCATAGGGAAAAAAATTGAGATGAAATGATAATAAATGAAATGAAGGTTTTAAAAAAGTGATGTGAATATGGCTCCTCTATGATTAGTCTTGGTAAAAATCTGGAAATTTACAGAGCGTGGCGGTTAAAAGCAGATTCTAGAGCCATATCTACTTTGATTTGAAGCCTGCCTCCACCATCTACTACCTGTCTGACTTCAGAAAAAGTTATTTAACCCACGTCTCAATGCCCACATCTGCAAAATGGAGAACAATAGTAAGTTCACAGGTTGTTGCTATAATTGTAAGTTGTTATAATTGTTGTTATAATACTAAGTTCACAGGTATTGAAAGCTCTGAAACCATGCCTTGCACCTAGAAAGTCCCCAATAATAAAATGTTATATAACATCACAGTACAAATGGTACAATCACTAATTTAACCCAAAACTTTGATGCACGTATTGGACAAAGAGAGAGGAAGAGGAAGTGTATCAGATGACACACTGGGATGTTAGTCTAAAACCAGATCATTCAGAGGAGGAAGGCAGCGTAGAGTGTCTACACCCGGCAGGCAGATAAGGGAACTGGGACACACACGGATTCAGAAGTGCAGAGGTAAATACCAGAAGGAACAGTGAGAAGTGGCAGTTGCTGTCAGGGAGAGCAGGACTCAACGGTGGGGAGGGGAGAGCCATGTTCATGCGAAGAGTTTATTTTCCCAGCCATTTAAAAAAACACACGCATATTTACATAACCTTATCGCGCTGGATTGGAAGCAGAGGGTGACAATAGAGGAGTCTCATGAACCAGCTTCTTCAAAAGCTAAGCACTGACTCAGAGCAAAAAATATCTTTCCAGCTGCTTCAAACAGAAAGTAAGCAAAGGGCACATTTCCAAGGGAAAGGGAGGGTCCAGACCTGGTGTGCAGGCCCCAGGCAAAAATCTTGCTGTGCCTTAGTGGGCCAAGGTGCCCTGACTTTTCCTTCCCTCTTCAGGACCCGCCCTGTGTTCTGGCCTTCCACCTGCCAAAGCAGACCTGCCCTGGGGGCCTCCTTCCCATCAAGGGACAAGAGAATGGCTGCAGCGTGATTGAATGGCTGTTAAATTGTGCTCTCCTGTCTTTTGAGTTTTTCTATTTTAAATGGTCCATACCGTGGTTTCATCAGAGAAACTAACTCTTGCAGAAAAAGTATTCCCTTTATAAGATACAATGTTGGGCACTCTGTCTTCTCTCCGAGAGGCACATTGTAACAGTGAAGAGGGGCCTGCAGATGAAAATACCGGTTAATAGAAGAGATTTCTGAAGAAATCAGGAGGGCAAGAAAGACAATTTTATTGTCATCTAAAAAAAAATGGGAAATGGGTCAGGAAATTCTGAGAAAAAGCATCATTTCTGGGGAGGGATTATTCATTCTGATTATGGGGCCCGACTACATGGTAATAATCACACTTTCTGCTTCTGCCACTTTCAGGGGTGACATCGAGAACCAGGACAGAAGAAGCCAGAGCTCGTTAATCGGGGTGAATAAACTTGGGCTGAGGTAAGAAGCCAGCTGTGGCAGTCAAGGGCAAAGTTCTGTAAAAAGATTTTGACCCCAGACGTACCGGGAATTTTGGAGCCAAAATGATCTCAGCCAAAGAAATGGGTTTAAAGTGAGCTATAAAGAATGGTTCAATCAGGGAAGAAGAAAGCAGTACTAGTCACGGGTTAACAACAATAAAATGTTGGTTTTTTTTTTTTAAAGTAATAAATTATACCCAGATGGATTTTGATAAAATATTTCCGGAGTTTTTAAAGTTTATTTATTTATTTAAAAATGTAATATTACCATAGAATCTTGGAGTTAACTGAAAAGACACGGACAGTCGCCTACGGCACCTGTGATGGTAGGCAAGCCGTGAATGAAATCCTGAGAGGCTGAAGGCATGTGATCATTAACTTCCGTTTTGATACAATTCTGCTTTTTATTCCCAATCTGAGTTTCTGTTTTAGCTTTGGAATTAATGAAATCAAAGCGTTTCTTTTTGCACAAATCAAACTCTTCCTGAAATCTGTGATAAAGTTGGGTTCTGGTGCATTATACAAGTTGCAGTTATTTTTAGCTTACTGGAAATCACAAACCCATAAAATTAAGTAAGCCAAAGCACCTTTTTTGTACAAACGTAAGTAAATTTCCCTCCAACAAGACAGAGGAAGAGATAGACAACACAAAACATGAGTGTTTGTATATGAGTGACATTTTAATGATATCTTTCAGTGATATTCCAAAAATCAAAAGTGACTTGGTACACTCTGACGCTACGCGAGTGACGGGGCTTTGCTCTTTGTTCATTAACTGCTGAACAATCTGATGGATTGAATTAAATGTGTCTAACAGACCCTGAATGGGTTTGGAAGCTTTGTCAGGAAAACCCGAAGTACCTAGCCCCCAAGATAGCTGCTCAGCTTGCCTCCAACTCAAGCTGGAAAGACCTTCTAACAACAAGAAGCCATTGTTCCTGGGTGCTCCAGACTCACCGAAAAGCAGTGGAAACCTCTGGGTGTGGACACAGGAACGGGCAGCTGTGGGCTTTGGGAAATAAAGAGTGTCTTGGTACTGACACAGTCTTGTTCGGAGTTGTGATTTAGAGCCTCTTTATGTTGTTGTGCACGTGTGCCCTGAGACAAAGTAGCAAAATAAGACTTGTGACTGGTTTCATGCCTCTCTCATTCATTCTGGGATCCTCCATGTTGGGAAAATGAACAGAAAAATCTCATCTACTCTTTTTCCATCAAAAATGAAAAGGTGATCATTAAAACACTGGTGAGATATACTCATCATAAAAACAGAAAATTTTCAACTATGAATGAAATGTTTGGGGAGGAAGATCCTTAACTTCATGGTTATGTCTCTGTAAGCCAGAATCATGCTGTTTAAATATGCCTCCAGTCTGTCTCTCCAACTAGACTCACCAGCGAGAACTTAGCCCTTATTTGTCCTTAGGCTTGATGACAAGCACAACGTCCGGCACAAGGCGCTCAACAGATTTTACTTTAACTGAACTGAGCCTACTTAAGGGAGGTAGCAAAAAAAAGAAAGAAAGGAAGGAAGGAAGGAAGGAAGGAAGGAAGGAAGGGGGGGAAGGGAGAAAGAAAGAAAGGAAAAGAAAAAGAAATGTCATGCATACGTCTGATCAAGAAAGCAGACAGTATGGCTTCTAAGGAACAGCCTAAGTCCTAAGACCTGCCGCTGCTGGTCCTCCTGCCCAGAGGCAACCACTCCTAACTGTGAGAATTTGTCTTAAGGTTTCATCACATTAATTGTTAATGAAAAAAAAGGAGAAAACAAGGATGCCAGTTTCAAGTTATTCTTGTCTCTTTACTTAAATAGGCCGAAAAATATTTGGAAACACTGCCAGCAGTGGCTCCAAGTCGCTGTATTCACACATTTAACAAACATATATTGTTCACACTGAACGTGGTGGCATTTCTGTTTTCATACTTTTATTAGCGGAGACCAGCTTTTTCCCGCTCAGGGTGCAGAAGGCAGAAGTCAGTGCAAGCCTAGAATCAGTGGGGACAGAGCACATCAGAAGCAGACAATGGGGGTGGAGAGGAAGGGTGAGTCAGTGTCATAATGGGATAAAGTGCTCAGAGTTCATGCTGCAGGATGGGGAGGACGCTGAGGCACAGATCTGCTCCCCTTTGTACTTTCTCTCAGCAAGTGCCATTCTGTACATGATGGAACCCACAGGGCAGTGGCACTGTACCCCCGTTTATACCTGCAAACTTTCTACCGCAGCAGCTGCACGGTCTGCGGAATGGTCCTCTTATTTTGAACCAGTAAAATAATCTGCAAAATCCCTTGGAATTATTTATAATGGGGCTTCTCTGACATTAGTAAGAACAAAAGTAGGAGTATAAAATGAAGCCTCATTTATAGCACATAATGGTAGGAACCCTCTGCAAAGACATGACAATTTGGGAAAATCCTAACTCTGATCAGAGTGAATAAATATGATTAGCTGGCAAAGATGCTATTAGGCTATTTGCCAGAGAAACAGATTACTGCTTTATGGAGTCAGCCTGAGAAGGTGACCTGACCCCCAGGAAATGCTGGCACCCCGAAATGGTGACCCTGAGGTCCCCCCCTCCCCCTGTCATGGAGCCTCAGTAGATCCAATGGGACACACAGGAACTTGGAAACTAGATATTGATCAGAAAGCGGGACTGAATGGGTGGCTATTTGCTGAGAAAAGGCAAAAGAGACCAGTTCAAAAAAAATTCTGTTAGCAGAATCCAGATTTCAATACCGCAGGAAAATCACCTTCTACCAAAATTGGAGAAGAAACCCAAGGCTCAGGAAGACAGACAAACAGTAACAACCAAGGAACAAGAAAAATGGTGAAACCTATGTTCTCCAAATACTTAGTATGAGCTGAGATTTTATAGAACTAATCTGAATTAACCCTCACTCTAATACTAACTGGTAGGCATTATTTTCATTTCCTAGATGAGGACCCTGAGGCTTCTAGAGTCTAAGAAATGACACAGTGACTCAAATCCAAGACCGCTGGACACTAAATCCATGTTCCTTCTGTCATGACAAAGAAGATGTCTAGAAGGCGAGGAAAATCACATCTCTAAGTGCACAGACATTATGTACAGTAACACTTCTGAGGTTTACAAACTAAGTCTGCCTCCACGAAACTTGGCCAGACTTCTTTCAGTCACGTCAACTTCCTTTCTTACCTGAGGGCCTTATAATATTTCCGAATGGGTGACTCATTGGGGCCAATTTTTAAAATTCTACTAGATTCTAGTGAGAGGATCTTTGACATTCCACTGCAATTTTAGTTCAAAAAAAGTGAACTTTGCTTTACCTAGCACTTAATAAGAACATGTGTGTTTAAGTCTTCTGGTGCATCCGTGCCCTGGGCTGGTGCCTCCAGACATCACTGACTCAGAGAGGTGAGAACACACACTCATCTACCTCTTAAAGACAAGTTCATGAGCAGTGACCCAGGGCCTGACACAGCACACTCAGCGGACGCATCGCTAAGATAGCAGGGGAAAGTAATCGCTATTTCAAACAAGCCAAATTCTACTTTATTACAAAAACAACGTAGTTAAGCACACAAAGCATTTCATTGTGGCCTGTGTGTGGGCTGTATGTAAACTCTCCACAGATTCCATATTGAATCAAAAAGAAATGATGGTCGTAATTGAGTTAACGTGAAAAGCACAGTGAAAACACTGCCACCATTAAAAAGGAGGAATAAGTTTCAGCTCCAATTTTTTTTTTTTTAAATCAAGCTTTGGAAAAGATCAGTCAAAGGGCGAGTTATTTCAGAAAGTTACATGTTGGTGACAACAGAGTGAAACGAGGAGCTTTGGTGCAATTTCCACTACACCGAATGGCCAGCTCGGAAGGATTTCTTCCCCTACCATAAATAATATTAAAGTGCTCACCTTTCTGTGCATGAATATAATAAAATCACATCCACTCTTCTGCTGCATGTTCATGCGTCTGCAACAGGTACACTTACCATTACCCTCCCCCTCCACACCCAAGAGAAACATAAAATTGAACTCAACCTTCCCCTCATCCAGGGGTGTTTTTCTTTCCAGCGGTCCCACATGTCGGAGTTGCTGGTAGTAACCAAGGACTCACGGGTCACCTTTACCAAATGGCATCTCCTCCAAAAAACAAAACAAAAAACAAAACAAAAACAAAAAACCACCTGATTTGTGAGGAAAACTGGCCTCCCAGGTAGGACAGCAGCTCCACCTGCCTCCCTCCCTCCCTTCTCTTCTGTCCCGGACCCCCTGGTGCTCAGATCCTTTAGGATAAGGAAGTGGGATGGGCTTACTAAGAAAAGGAGAAGGCCCGCAGGAGTCAAGATTTCTGTGACATCATGGAGCAGGATAAGTGGCTGCTAACCATTTCTGAAAAGACATCAAAACTCCATCAGACTTAAGCAATGCTCAAGTCTTTCCATCCAGCAATGTTTCCAAGCAGGTCTCTGCACACAGCTTTGCTTCTTTTTTTTTGCCTTTTTTTTTTTTTTTAAACACACTAAGCTGACTCAGACACACAGGCAGAAGTTCTCTGACTCACTTCTCTCTTCATTTCTTTCTTCCTTTCTTCTTTTTTTTAACCCCATGATTTCTGAAAATGTATGCTTCACTGGGGATTAGTTCTTCCTACATAAGGGAGGAAAACCAGTTGAAAATCCCACAGAGAGAGGCTTGTGATCTTTAACGCTCAGGAAAAAAATGCAAATGCAAAGTATCCTTGGAAAGACAATGGGGAACATCAATAACACTCAAGAACTGTTCCCCAAGTTCGATAAACAGATTCTCAGTCCAGGCAAGTGAATCCTGATACTTGTCTGGACCTGCAGTCTTTCCTCTTCTCCCTGAGTTTCTGCCATTCCTACTCTTGCTTACCTTGCTGTGCCCCTGATTTGGGGTCTGTGGATGCATAAGTGCTTGGGTACACACACACACACACACACAGAATTTAATACAAAGTTGATATATAAGAGTATATATACCAGTTGTTAATTATTTAAATACTTCCATATTAATTTGGAAACAGATCCTATGCTTACTGAGTTTACAAATCACTCAAGGACTCTGCCCAGTGGTGGCCACAGAAACAGGTAATAGAGCCAGGGCCCAGAGACCGGCAGTGATGAGACAGTGAGCAAGCAGCCTCTAGTAAGTCACTGGACTCAGGGCTAGGACATCAGGCTCCCACATCCACACATTCAGGTGCAGGTCCAGCCACCTTCTGGATACAAAACCCTGGGCTCCATAACCTGATGCTTATCAACGTAAGGAGTAAAATATGCAACAGATTCACGTATTTCCCTATTTCTTTTTTTTTTTTTAAGATTTTATTTATTTATTTGACAGACAGAGATCATAAGTAGGCAGAAAGGCAGGCGGTGGTGGGGGGGAGCAGACTCCCCACTGAGCAGAGAGCCCAATGCAGGGCTCGATTCCAGGACCCTGAGATCATGATCTGAGCCGAAGGCAGAGGCTTAACCCACTGAGCCACCCAGGCGCCCCACGTATTTCCCTATTTCAAATCATGGTTCATATAGCACTCTCACTCAGCTGCAGACAGCTGCCCCCTGCCAACTAGAAATCAAGAAATGCTTTGGGAATTAACATAATGATTTGATAAATGATTTGCCCTCTAACTTACAACTCTTGGCAGTCATATATCGTTAGTTTACTCAGAGAATAGAAGAGGATGTATTTTTAAGTGCTGAATTAAATATATTTATTTATATTCCCATACCAATGGGCAAATATTTTCATCATTATCTTGCTATCTATCAGTGCATGTATGCATTCGTAGATGCTTAGGAAAAAATATGGACAGACACACAACACAACAATGCAGTTACCCCTGGGGGTGGGAAAAGGGGCCTATTTGGGGCAAGTGTATTTAAAGGAGAAACTTTCTATTTTTACTCTCTATTGTCTATTCTATATGAATAATACATTTGTTGTTTTTGTAACTATAAGTTTTTTTAAAAAGAGAGTACATCTCTATACACGCTTACAAACACAGAATCAACCATTTATGATCAGCGCAGGTGAACCTAATGGATGAAGTGGTGTGTCACTGCTGTAAAGTGTGATCAAAGGAAGGTCCAGGTATACTGTGGGGAGGATTGAGGGAAAAGCAGAACAAACACAGAAAGGTAAATTTCACAGATTATTGTAAGGGCAAAAGAAGGGGAAAAAATGCAAGAGAAAAGGGGGAATGATGAGATCATCATTAATTACAAGGAAAGCCCTTTGAAACACTAGGAGAACTTTCTAACTTAGTTGATGCACAACATGGTGGTATGGAAGACTGTGGCATCGTAAGAAAAAAATTCAAGTGGAAAAGTCACTGCCCACCAAAAATGACTTACATGAAAGCAGTGTTTTAAATTGGGATTCTACCAAGAAAGAATCCATTTAAAAGTAAGTAATGCCTACATGATTATATAAAAGAAAGACGGAAGGAAAGGAAATAAAAGGAAAGGAGAGGAGA